TATTTATTTTATTTTTTTGAAAGTCAGAGTTACACAGAGAGAGGAGAGGCAGAGAGAGAGAGAGAGAGAGAGAGAGAGAGAGAAAGGCCTTTCATCTGCTGGTTCACTCCCCAGTTGGCCACAATATCTGGAGCTGCACCGATCCAAAGCCAGGAGCCAGGAGCTTCCTCCGAGTCTTCCATGAGGGTGCAGGGGCCCAAGGACTTGGGCCATCTTGTACTGCTTTCCCAGGCCATAGCAGAGAGCTATACCAGAAGTGGAGCAGCAGGGACTCGAACTGGTGCCCATATGAGGTGCCAGCACTGCAGGTGGCGGCTTTACCTACTAAGCCACAGTGCCCGCCCAGGCCATTTTAAAAACTGGGTTTTTGTTCTTGTTACTGAGTTGTATGAATTCCTTATATCATTTAAATATTAACCCCTTATCAGATGTATGGTTTTTTCTCATTCTGTAATCTGCCTTATCCTTTGTTGATTGTTCCCTTTGTTGTTCAGAAACTCTTTAGTCCGATGCAATCCCATTTATCTATTTTTGCTTTTGTTTCCTGTGCTTTCTGGGTTATGTCCAAAAATTCATTGCCCAATATCAAGAAACTTCTGGGGGGCAAGCATTGTGGTGCAGAGATAAGCCACCACTTGGGATACCTGCTTCCTATCTCAGAGTGCCAGAGTTCAAGCCCCATCACTGTTTCTGATCCAACTTCCTGCTAATGCACATCCTGAGAGGCACCAAGTAATGATTCAAGTGCTTGGGTTCCTGCTACCCACATAGGAGACCTGAAAGGAGTTCCAGGTTCCAGGCTTCAGACTGGCCCAGCCTCTCCAGTTGCTGGCATTTGGGGAGTAAACATGCAGCTGAAAGAACTCTCTCTCTAAGGGCTGGCGCTGTGGCGTAGCGGGTAGAGAGGCCACCTTCAGTGTCAGAATCCCGTATGATGCCGGTTCCAGTCCCAGCTGCTCCACTTTTGATCCAGCTCTCTGCTATGGCCTGGGAAAGCAGTAGAAGATGGCCCAACTCTTTGTGCCCCTGCTTCCACGTGGGAGACCCAGAGGAAGCTCCTGGCTCCTGGCTTTGGATTGGCACAGCTCCAGCAGATGCGGCCAATTGGGGAGTGAACCAGCAGATAGAAGACCTCTCTCTCTCTCTCTCTCTTCCTCTCCTTCTCTCTCTGTGTAACTCTGACTTTCAAAATAAATAAGTAAATCTTTAAAAAAAGAACTCTCTCTGTCTCTCTCTCTCTCCTCTGCTTTTAAAATAAAGCAAAATAAAGAAAGGTCTTCCTTTTCCATTGGTTCACCCCCCAAATGGCTGCTACAGCCAGTGCGCTGCCACTGGCGCACTGTGCCGATCCGAAGCCAGGAGCCAGGTGCTTCCTCCTGGTTTCCCATGCGGGTGCAGGGCCCAAGGACTTGGGCCATCCTCCACTGCCTTCCCGGGCCACAGCAGAGAGCTGGACTGCAGAACCGGCGCACCAACCGGGACTAGAACCCGGGGTGCCGGCGCCACAGGTGGAGGATTAGCCAAGTGAGCCGCGGCACTGGCCTAAAATATTTTTTAAAACTAAGATTTTCTGTAGTAGCTCTGCAGTTCAGATCTTACATTTAAGTCTTTATACCATTTACGTTGCTGTTTGCATATGGCATGAGATAAGAGTTCAATTTTATTTTCTTCATGTTATATCATTTTCCCCAACACTATGTATTGAAAAGACTTGCTACTTTGTTTTAAATTTGTCATCATGACAGATTTCCTCAATATGTTTAGTTCATAGTTCTTTAGAGTATGCTTTTAAGAATTGTATTATATCTGGTGTTTATTTTATTTTTTCAAATATTTATTTATTAATTTTGAAAGTTAGAGTTACAGAGAAAAAGGGAGAGACAATGGTTCACTCCACAACAGCCAGAACTAGGCCAGAACAAAGCCAGGAGCCAGGAGCTTCATTCTGGTCTCCCACATGGGTGCAAGGGCCCAAATGCTTGGGCCATCTTCCACTGCTTTTCCCAGGCCATTAGCAGGGAGCCGGATTGGAAGTGGTGTAGCCAGGACACAAACTGGTGCCCATTTGGGATGCCAGCATCACAGGCAGTGGCATTACCTACTGTGCTACAATGACAGTCCCAAGACTTGCTACTTTTAAAATTGACTTTTGATAATCTGATTATCGTGTCTTGGGGAAGATCTATTTCCATTTTATCTATTTGGGGTTCTTTGGGCTTCATGGATCAACCCAGAGTTCTTATGAGATTTCCAAAGTTATCTTCTGGCAGAGTATTTTCTTTCCCCAAGGCTGTTCTTTGGCACAAGCCACAAGGCCTGGCTCTTCCAGCAGATGTAGAAATGTGTAAAGCCTCAAGTCCTCCAATTCCAGGTTATTTTTTATTGCCCCTGGGAGCACTGCATCTAATGCCAGCACGGATGTACTATTTTGAAACTAAACACATTTCTCAGAAAGCTCAGGCAGGGTGCCATTTCAAGGATGCATTTTCTATCAATGCCTCACAGCACAGTGTCACTGCTGCTGCCTTCAGTCTGGGCGGTGCTGCCTGTAGAGCAGTTCTGCTTTGTTCACTGCTTGCCTCCCAATCCTGTTGGGAAAGCCACAGTCACAAAACCCAGGGGTATTCTGCTTTCATGGCTTTCATCCCTGCAAGGATATATTTTCTGTGGGGTGGTTCTTGTCTTAGGTCAGGTTCCTTAGAGGCTGTCCTGAGATGGAGATTTGTGTTCAAGGATTTACCAAGGATTTTCATGGAGAAGGGAAGGAGAAACAGGAAGGGGCAGGGACAGGGGCCACACAGAAATGCGACCTCAGCTGCGTTCTAACTGCAGCCTGGTTCCCACGGGGGTGTTGAAGCACCACAGGGTTGGTCCCACCTTAAGGTAAAGGAAGCTGGCCTTTGTGCACTTGAAGCAGTCCGCTCTTGGCTGCAGGGGTCAGAAGTGTGAGTGTGCATAGAGCCACCTGCTCCAGGTGGCTCCCATTTGCTCAGGTGTCCTTCTCTTGGCCAAGGGCAATTGTCTGGAAAAGAGATTTGCTTTCAGTTGTATTCAGGTACTCTCCCAGCAGCTGGGGGTGCTGTCTGGGTGCACTGGCTGGTAAAGCAGACCTGAACAGGGAACCAATAGAAGTTCTGAATCATAAGACACAATACTCATTTGAATCTGAGTTTTGGCTCTTTATTCTCAGATTACTCGGAGATTATGCCTCATTATGCATTCCTTTATTCGTGTTTTTTTAAAAACATGAATTATTATTTATTTGAGAGGCAAAGAGATAGCATTCCCCTCTGCTGGTTCACTCCCCCCCGCAAGCCAAAGCTGTGAGCTAGAAATTCAATCTAGGTCTCTAATGTGGGTGGCAGGAACCCAATGACTTGAGCCATCACCTGCTGCTTCCCAGGGTCGCATTAGCGGAAGCTGGAGGCTCAGAAACGGATTGACTCCAGGCACTCAGATGTAGGATGTGAACAGCATCTTAACAGACATCTTTTTTTTTTTTTTCCCAGAAAGATTTATTTATTTGAAAGACAAGTTTCAGAGAGAGGCAGAGACAGGCAGAGAGAGAGGTGTCTTTCATCCGCTGGTTCATTCCCCAAATGGCTACAATGGCTGGAGCTGAGCCAATCCGAAGCCAGGAGCCAGGGGATTCTTCCTCCAAGTCTTCCATGTGGGTGCAGTGGCCTAAGGACTTGGGACATCCTCCACTGCTTTCCTAGGCACATTAGCTGGGAGCTGGATTAAAAGTGGAGCAGCTGGGACTCAATCTGGTGCCCATATGGGATGCCAGTGCTGCAGGCTAGGGTTTTAATCCACTGCACCACAGTGCCAGCTCCTTTAACAGACAACTTCTAAATGTCCATCTTCCTTTCTATACAGATCACATAGCAAAATGGTATTACATTTTCAAATAGCTATGACCAAGGATAATATTCCAAGAATACCACCCTATTTCAATATTCAGCCAGTCTGCTGAACTACATAATAGTGAATTTTATTGCTTAAGTTTCATTTTATATTCACGTATGAGCAATACTACTGCATATAGCACAACCGTAGAGTATGACCAATAGATGGCACCAGAAACACCCACACTTATCCACCTAATTTATACAGGATGTGTGTATGTGCTAAAAGTTCAATCTCACTCCAGGTAGGTTTATCATATTGGAAAGGGTTTCATAACATTGAATCCAAACCAAAGCTTGTTAACTTGGCTATTTGACTTCTTTCTTGTAGGGTTATTTGAGTGTGAGAAAAAAAAAATAGATGATAGGGCCAGTGAATTCAGAAAGAAAACATCTATTCATTAGCAAAAGGAAGGAAAAAAGACTGGAGCCCTGCATCCTTTTCCTTCAAGGTCTCTTGAGTGTATAAATGCTGAAGATTATTAGGAAATATTTGAATAACAGGATAAAAAAGTCAAGGATACTGCCTCCAAAACATGAACTGTATTCCCCACTGAAAACAGACTTGGATGGCAACCAAACTGCTCAAGGATTGCCCTGGCCAATATTTGACCACAGGGCTCCCCTCCGGGAAAGGTTGCTGAGTCCAGCATTCACCATTTTCAAGTTTGTTTGTTTTAAAGTTTGTACTTCATTGTTGATAAAGGGAAGTAAAGAGGGGAAGGGCCATGAAATCTCTGATTTTTTTTAGCAGTCCAGAATTTCATCTTTTTTCTACATCGGACTATTCTTTCTTTTATTTTTTTTAATTTAATATTTTATTTATTATTTTTGAGATAGCATATTTTTAATTTACATGGTCGTCAAAGGCTTAATGCTCCACTAAATAGAAAGTTCAACAAATAAAAACTAGAAAGACCATAACTGAGTGAGAAAATAGGCAAGGGCTATAAACAGTAATCAAATAAAAAGATGGTCAACTTCACTCACAAAAAATAAATTTTAAAATAGATTTATTTATTTATTCATTTAATTTTTTTAGAAAACTTTTATTTAATAAATATAAATTTTGAAAGTACAAATTTTAGATTATAGCATTTTTCCCCCATAACCAATCTCCCACACAGATTTATTTATCTGAAAGGCAGCGTTAGAGAGAGGCAGAGGGGGAGGGAGAGAGAGAGAGAGAGGTCTTCCATCCACTGGTTCACTCCCCAGATGGCCCCAATGGCCCGAGCTCCAGAGAGCTGGATCGGAAGTAGAGCAGCCAGGACTCAAACTCAGTGCCCACATGGGATGCTGGCACTGCAAACAGTGACTTACAATAGTTTGCTGTACACTAGCCATCAGGGAAATACAAATCAAAACCACAATGAGATATCACCTCACCCCTGTCAGAATGACTATTATTCAAAAGACAGAGAGAACAAATTGCTGGCAAGGATGTGGAGAAAGGGAGACTCTTACACTCTGCTTGTTGGAATATTTGAAAATATTTATTTGTGTATGCATTCCAATAAACAGTGCTGGTTCGAGTCCCAGCTGCTCCTCTTCTGATCCAATTCTCTGCTCTGGCCTGGGAAAGCAGTAGAAGATGGCCCAAGTCCTTGGGCCCCTGCAGCCGTGTGGGAGACCCTGAGGAAGCTCCTGGCTCCTGGCTTCTAATTGGCCCAGCTCCGGCCATTGCAGCCATTTGGGGAGTGAAACAGTAGGATGGAAGACTTCTCTTTCTCTCTGCCTCTGCCTCTTTGTAACTCTGCCTTTCAAATAAATAAATAAATCTTTCAAAAAAAAAATGAAAAAGAAATCTCCAAAATACATGAACTTTATATACCCTAAATAAAATTAGAGAAAAAAATTTAAATCAATCTCCATTCTGTTTTCTGCAGTGGCTGCACTAATTTGCATTCCAACGAGCAGAGTATAAGAGTCTCCCTTTCTCCACATCCTTGCCAGCAATTTGTTCTCTCTGTCTTTTGAATAATAGTCATTCTGACAGGGGTGAGGTGATATCTCATTGTGGTTTTGATTTGTATTTCCCTGATGACTAGTGTACAGCAAACTATTCTAAGGAGCAAAATGACTTAAAGGAAAAAACTCTGAAGTGCAATACTTAACGTTCACTAAGTGTGTTTGTAAACATTGTTTAACTTTCCAACCGTATTAAAAATGGGGCTACTGAGTCTCAGAAAGGTCATTTAGTTAGCCAGGACCCTAATCCAGTTCATCCGATCCTCAGATCAGGGGAGTCTAGACATGCTATGAGCTCACCACATACATGTGGACAAATCATTTCATCTCACTAGGTTTCAAGTGTCATCTGTAACACAAAGGGCTGGACTGAAAGGCCCCAACACACCCTCCAGCTAGAAACCTCCAGATTCTGAATAGTACGTGTAGAATGTAGTGTACTGATTGGGACTGGAGGTGTGGTTTGGCAGCATAGTCAGTAGGAAGGGAGGGTAAAGCTCACTTTGATAGTGTTCCAAAGTGGAAGGTGACACGGCTATTATACAATGCATTCAACAGCCTGGTTCTTGTATTTTGGGGGGAAAGTAAATACCAGGTTCTGATTAGCCTTTCCTATACCTGTCATCAGTTTATTATATGGTAAACATTGTGCCTCTAGGAGCTTTCCTTCCCAAATGAAATGATCCCAAGGTTGGGAATTTTTCTTTACAGGGCATGCTCTTCTGTCAGATATCCTGCAAATTATTTCCACTGCCCTTCCTTGAGCCTTTGCCATTTTAGCTCTGCCTTTTTGACAGCAAAATTGATTAAAAGGTTTTTGGTTTTGTCTGTTTGTTTGTTTAGACTCAGAGAGAGAGAGAGAGAGAGAGAGAGGAGAGAGAGCGCTCTTTTCTGCTGGTTTACTCCCCAAATGTCCACAGTGGCTAGGGCTGGAAGCTGGGAGCCAGGAATGTAGGAACCCAAGTACCTGAATCATCACTACTGTCTCATAAAGTCTGCACTTGCAGGAAACTGGAGTCAGGACCTAGAGTTGGGTCTCCAACTCATGCACTTTGATGTGGGATGTTGGCCTCTTAACTGATAGGGTAAATCCTGCTCCTAATGGGAGTTTAGTTTTTTAAAATTAAATTTAATTTTTTAAAATGTTTACTTAAAAGATACGGCCAACAAGTCCATTTGATATCTCCCCTCTTCCTTTCTGATGGGAGGCAGCGCTGTAAAATTGTTATGTCCCTGGGAGCTGCAGACAGGCCTGGCTTCTCATCAGGACCCGGATGTTGCCTCAGTGAGACAACACACATAAAATACTGAGTATTAGCCTAGAGTATGTGCTCAAGCAATGTTAGCCAAAATCACTACACCACCCCAGAGGGCACTTTTCAGATCTTATCTATTTCATATTAGATGAAAAAAACTGAGGTTCTACGAGATAAAAGACTTTTGAATGCTTATTGGTCTGACACTGCTATGGATATCTGTTATTTCTCTCACTTTTTAAAGATTATTTATTTATTTGAGAGGTAGTGTTACAGACAGAGAGGGAGGGAGGAAGGGAGGGAGAGAGAGAGCGAGAGAGAGAGAAATCCACTGGTTCACTCCCCAAATAGCTACAATGGCTGGAGTTGGGCTGATCCAAAGCCAGGGGCTAGGAGCTTGTTCCATGTTCTCCATGCAGGTGCAAGGACCCAAGCACTTTGACCATTTTCATCTGCTTTCCCAGGCTGTTAGCAGGGAGCTGAACTGGAAGAGGAGCAGCCAGGAGACAAAGTGGAGTCCATATGGGATGCTGGCTCTGCAGGTGGAGACTTAGCCTACTTTGCCACAGCACTGGCCCCTATTTGTTATTTCTTTTACCTAGCACCCCCTTTACCCCGAGAAACCATCCTACTTGCCTCCATCCCACTTTGTTTTGCTAGAAAAGACCCTGTAGGGGTCAAGAATGAACTCTGGAGCTAAATGGTCTGGTTCAAATCTCAACTCTATTACTTACTGGCTGTGTAACTTTCAGGAGATTCCTTAATCTTTCCTTGCCTTAGTTAATTCACTTACCAATAGGGATGATAAAAATTTTTCCCATTTAGATTCTTGCAAAGATTAAACATGTTAATACAAATGAAGTTAAGAACTAACTCCGTGGCATAGTAGGCTAAGCTGCCTGTGGTGCCGGCAACCCATATAGGTGACAGTTGGTGTCCTGGCTGCTCCACTTCTGATCCAGTTCCTGGCTAATAAGTGTGGGAAAGTAGCAGAAGATGACCCAAATGCTTGGGTTCCTGCATCCATGGGAGACCTGGAAGAAGCTCTTGGCGCCTGGCTTTGGCCTGGCTCAGCACTGGCAGTTTTGGCCACTTGGGGAATGAACCAATGGTTGGAAGATCTCTCTCTCTTTCACTGTCACTCACACTCTCATTCTCTGTCTCTCCCTCTCTAACTCTATCAAATAATACAAATGAAATGCTTACAGTACTGCACACTACATAGTAAGTGCTCAACACATATAAAATATTCTTTTTCTCCTACCGCTCTCCCAGTTACAGGGATAGGCACATGTGTCAGATCTGGCCAGAGTGTCCTGTCTTCTTGTTTACCATGACTGGATTGGGCCAAGGTTGGCAAAATTTTTCTATAAAGAGTGGATAGCAATTGTTTTAGGCTTTGGGGGCTATGCAGTCTCTATTACCACTACTTAAGGCTGCTATTTTAATAGAGAAGCAGTCATACATAAACAAATGAGTATAGTTGTGTTTGAATAAAACTGAAATTTATAGATATTGAAATTTGAATTTAATATAATTTTAGGGATTATAAAATACACCAAATCATTTTGATTTTTAAAAATGACAAAACCTGGGGCAGACATTTGTCATAGCTGTTAAAATGCTGGGTTCAAGTCCCAGCTCTGCTCCTAATTTCAAGTGCCTGGTTTCAAGTCCTAGTTTTAAGTGCCTGGGTCCACTCCTCATTCTAGTTTCCTGCTACTGCAGATCCTGGAAGGCAGCAGATGATGGTGCAAGTATCTGGGACCCTACCACTCACATAAGAAACTCACAGTGTATTCCTGGCTCCTGGCATTGATCTGGCTCAATCATGGCTGTTGTGGGCATTTGGGGAGTGAAGCAACAGATGAAATCTCTCTTTCTCTTCATCTATGTGTGTGTGTGTGTGTGTGTGTGTGTGTCCGTCTACCTGCCTTTGAAATAAACAAATAAACTTTTTTTTAATGACAAACCATTTTCAGCTCCTGTGCTGTCCAAAACTAGGAGGTTGGCTGGATTTGGCCTAGGTCATGGTTCATTGACAATCTGTCCAAAGGATGGGCATATAATCCATGAGAGGCTAAAATTCTGCCATGACATTTAATACTGGACACTGGAAGAAAGTGTGTGCCTTTCCCATTTGAACCATGATTCCCACGGTCATCTTCCTTCCAACTTGGTGAGATCCTATCTGTGGCAAGAGAGAATCAAGGTCAAGTGAAAATAATCAGAGTCAAACAAAGCCAACCAAGAGATAAAGAGAAAGATGGCTCTGAAAATTTCATTTGGACCTGTAGATTAAGCCATGCCTATTAGATCCATGAACCAATAAATGCAGGGATTTTTCTTTTCTTCCTACTTTAGTGCAGTCAGGTTTTGACCACCTACAATGTAATTCTTATAGAGACTTATGAACTTGTTTTCCTCACACTATGCAAAAATCACTGTACATAATAATCAGGAAAAAGGGAAAGCTAGTTTGTGTTGTGTTCTTACCACACGCCAGACAATTTGGTAAGTGCTTTCACATGTGATTTCATGTTCACTTAACCCTCTGAGTTGGCATTATTATCCTCATTTTACCAAGAACATGGGCACATTTGATGCCAGTAGATTGCTTGGATACTACGTTTGATGGTCGAATGAAACAGCAGTTTGAAAGGATTTTTTTCAAGGGAATGGGAATGAATGTTCAGGTTTATTTTCTCACCTACCTCACTTCCTAAGAAAAAAATTATGGAAGAGTCAACCTTGTCAGGGCACACTTAATCCCTTTTCTGGGAAAGAGGGCATGTACTGATTGGGAATCCCCCCTGTTCCTCTGGCCATTCTGGGCAGTGGGGAGTGGCAGTCCTGGAGTCCTTGCTCAGCTGCCCAGCAGAGAGTGGATGAGCAGCTGAGGCTGCTGATAAACAGCCTGGGTTAATCCTCACTGCAGCTTGTGACTCCCTTGCAGGACCCATCCAGGATTTCCTTCAGGAGTATCACTTCACAGCAGCTGGCTGGCTGGACATTGCCAACTGCTCACCCCTTGGTTGCACAGGAAACTTCAGCAGGTAAAACTTGGCCAGTCCGAGGAGACGACATCATCCTTTGGAGAGAAGAGAAAAGCTGTACAAAGAGGGCTTGCATGATAGAGGATGACAAAGAAGCAGGGGAAGATAATTCTCCACTTCCATTATCCTTCACCCTGATAAATCAGTCCTCTGGAGTCTGGAATGAAGACAAAGAACTACCACATTATAGCTGTTTATTAGACAACTACTGTATCTCACTCCATTTCTCAGTAAAATGGCCACCATTGTTTATCAATGAACACTTGCCAGGCACCTTACCTACATTATTTTTAATCATCTCAGTGACTCAGCAAAGTAGACATTAAATATCACCTACTGTTTTATTGATGAGGAAATTGAGGTGGCTAGATTAAGAAATGACCAACAGTAGGAAGAGAGAGGAATTTGCACTTAGTCTGCCTCTCTTTTTCCCACACTACTGTGGGAGTTGGGATTCAGATGGGAGGAGAAGGATGATATTCCAGTCTTCAGCACCAGAAATAGAAGTGGAACTTGAGTCTTGGAAATCAGCTCCTCAAGTTCTGCATCTCTTTGAAGGAAGGAGTTTTGTCATTTCATATTTACCTGGTGTACTATCAGCCCTGAACTCATACTTGGCCCAGGGTAAGGGCTCAATAAATGTTCCTTAAATGAAAGAGTAAATGAGTCCAGGTGTCTATTTTCAGTAAAATGGAAAAAGGCTGTGGGAACACTGACTTGATGAAGTCTTCTCTCTCTCTCTCTCTCCCTAAGATTTTATTTATTTGAGCGGCAGAGTTACAGACAGAAAGAGGGAGAGACAGAGAAAAAGGTCTTCCATCCACTGGTTCACTCCCCAAATGGCCACAATGGCCAGAGCTGGGCCAATCTGAAGGCAGGAGCTAGGAGCTTCTTCTGGATCTTTGACTTGGGTGCAGGGGCCCAAGCCCTTGGGCCATCATCCACTGCTTTCCCAGGTACTTTGGCAGGGAGCTGGATCTGAAGAAGAACCACCAGGACTCCAACTGGCACCCCTATGGTATACCGGCGCCTCAGGCGGAGGCTTAGCCTATTATGCCAGAGCACTGGGTCCAATGAAGTCTTAAGTTCTTTCTGTAACTCTTAGAAATCACACAAACTCTGATGTGCAACTGCACTACCTTTAGTGCAATGGAGTAGAAGTTTAACCGATTTTATGTTATAGGCCATGACTTACCTAATGCCACCTTGGTGGTCTTAAAGACTGACTGCATCTTTAAAAAAAAAAAAAAAAACACTTCTGGATTTCTAGGGAGTAGCTTGAAGCAGAGAAATAATCTAATTCCACAATCTTCATTTAGGTCTTTTTGCCAATCCTTAGCCAGGGAATGATCACGTCCTGGATGCTGAGAAACTTAAACAGAGACTTCTAGAAAACAAGACTAGGCAGGGTAAAATAAGGATTGAGGGACAAGAAAGGAAACATTGGGGGAAAAGGTCAAAAGCTGGAGCCTGGACTATTCATTGCCCAGCAGCAGGCCCTGAACCCAATTCCCTTTCATTGCTCCATGGGGTAAGGGTGACTTAGCAAGCTATAAATCCCACTAGTCTAAGTGTGAGGAATGTGGAGATGAATGTGGGGAAGTCTTCGTTCCAGAGGAAAGGGCATGAGAGTGGGCCAGCTGGAGATAGAAGACAGAACATATCCCAAGTGTGAGCCAACAGAGATTTCAAATTAGAATCTGGGCTCAACCTGCATCTGGGTTTTAAGAAATCTGATTGTAAGTGGATAGGACTGTCAAGTAATTGGAAGAAACTTGGTAGAGACCTGAAGTGACACTGGGTTGATCTGCCAAGAAAAATTATTAGCATGTTTATCTGATCATTTGAATCAATGTATCTTCCTGGCAAGAATAAATATTTCTGCAGGAAACTAGTGGCTTGGAGATGCAGGTTAAGGAGAGCCCTGTAAAGGTGAGCAGGAGAAGGTCAAGTGTTGCCCAGAGAAGCCCATCTGACTTCGCCTTCAAAAGCAGTTTGGTAGAAGCAAGGAGCAGAAACAACCGGCCAGATTTCCTGTGGGTTGTGGGTGATGTCTTCCCCTGGAACCTGTGGCCTGGAGCTTACTTTGGAACTTGCCGTGGAGGAGCATTTTGATTGGGAAATGTGGTTTGGAATGTAAAACTGTTGAGACCTGGATTGTCTATCTCTGAGGATGTCTGCTGCTGGGTGTTAGCTGGCACTCAGTGAGGCTCTCTGGGTTCTTGGAAATTTAACAACTGCTTTTTCCTCACCGTGATTAAACTAGGTATACCTTGTGTGAGAACTAAGAATTCAAGGATGTGATCCTCTTAAGATTTACTTTGAGTGGAAGGATTTGAAACTCTGTGCTCCTCTGGCCTCAGAATCAGCCCTTAAGGCATCCGGATCTGGCTAAAAAGCCCATGAGAGCACTTCAGGCATGGAAAGCCAAGACACTGTGGCAAAACAAAACAAAACAAAACAAAAACCAACCTAAATGAAAGATCTCTGTGCGTGAGATCCCAATGGAAAGAATGGACCATCAAAGAAGGAGGTATCTTTCTCTGAAGGGAGGAGAGAACTTGTACTTTGATTATGGCCTTGTCTAAATAAGGTCGGAGTTTGTGAACTCAAGAGGCTTCCATAGCCTTGGCAGCTCATGACCAGAGCGTCGGGTGATTACTGACGTCAACTGTTAAATCAACAATGGGAGTCACTGTACACTTGCTCCCCATGTAAGATCTCTGTTCTTAATGTGTTATACTATGCAAATTAATGGTAAAACTACTACTCAAACAGTACTTAATACTTTGTGTATCTATGTGAGTGCGAACTGTTGAAATCTTTCTTAGTATATACCAAGTTGATCTTCTGTATATAAAGATAATTAAAAATGAATCTTAATGAAGAATGGAATGGGAGAGGGAGTAGGAGATGGGATGGTTTGTGGGTGGGAGGGTGGTTATGGGGAGAAAAGCTGCTATAATCCAAAAGTTGTATTTTTGAAATTTATATTTATTAAAGTTTTAAAAAAGAAAAAATAAATAAAACTGTGCTCTTTGGGCCTGCGCTGTGGCATAGCAGGTAAAGCCACTGCCTACAGTGCCCAGAATCCTATATGGATGCCGGTTCGAGTCCTGGCTGCTCCTCTTCTGATCCAGCTCTCTGCTATTGCCTGGGAAAGCAATGGAAGATGATCCAAGTCCTTGGGCCCCTGTACCCGCATGGGAGACTGGGGAAGAAGCTCCTGGCTCCTGGCTCCTGGCTTCAGAATGGTGCAGCTCTGGCCGTTGTGGCCATCTGGGGAATGAACCAGTGGATGGAAGACCTCTCTCTCCCTCTCTCTGCATCTGCCTCTCTGTAACTCTGCTTTTCAAATTAATAAATAAATCTAAAAAAAAAAAAACAAGCAAACAAACCAAAAAATCTCTTTGTGCTCTTAACATGCCTTATCCAGGTCATAGGGCCCATGAATAGCAGAAAAGGCATTGCATTAATGGCTGGGAATGAAAGGCTCCAGGTCAACTTTGTTGTTATGTGAGAGGTTAGACAAGTCATTTATTCTCTTAGTGTCTCATTTTCCTTACCTTTAAGATGGAGACAATATTTTTACTTCTCACAGAAATTCTTGCCAAAGTGAAAATAAGTAACCAGGATTATTTTAAGTTTTAAAAATTTGTTCAACTGTGATACATGAAAGTGGAAATCTGGATTTAAATCCAAATTCTGTGATTTACCACCTGTATAATCTCAGACATGCTTCTTCACTTATTGCCTTGATTTCCTACTCACTAAACACCCCTCTCAAAAAGTTGTGAAGATTGCATAAAGCACCTAGTTTATAGGTGGGTTTTATAAATCATACTGGTTGTCACCATGAATCTGATCAAGCAAGAAATACATGTTAAGAGCTTAGATTAGTACTTAGCCAGGCATTTGGTAAATGCTGATTATTATCATCTTCATTAACGTTTCTACCAGATATGGAAAACCATTTAGAAGTATAATTCCTCCTGCCTACAGAGAAAGGCTACATAAAGCAGAAGTGAGTCCATTCTAGGCAGAGCAGCCTGAACTTTATTGCACCTAGATCTTTTCCCACCAGCTCCGGAAATCCTGTTTCACAAGAGTTTTCATTTTATTTAAATGGAAACAATGAAAGGAATAAAACCACTAACAGTATTTAATGCATAGGCAAAACCCAAACTGGGGATAAGCTTTGGACATGATTTCTTAGCAGTAACTCAATAGCAACCACAGCCCCACCAGAATAATGTTCTGCCAGAAGCCTCAAAACCAGGGTGGTGTCCTTCCACCAACTCACCACAACAGATTGTACCAAAACACTGGGGCAACAGGAGCCCATATTTTAAAAATTACAGGATAAAGAAGCGGAAGTCTAAAATACTCATAGGCAGAAAGTATAACAGTCTCTTAACGTCCATGACTGCTAAGGGAGAACTAACTATGCTGAGTTGGCTTATCCAGTAAAAGCTTACGGTAGGGTAACTAGAAAGCTAATAAAATGCCTCGATGCTTATTTTTCTAGCCCAAGGGTCTAATAGTTACATCAAAATTTTTTCCTGCCCATTACATCTTTTGGAGGAAGTTCTATTTTTGTGCTTAATGAGTTCCTGGAGGTTTATATGAAAAATGTAATATATAAAAACAAGCAATAGCCTTACATGTTATGTGAGGAATTTTATTCCCAAGAACTAAAAAAAGTATAAATTCCCTAGTATATTTATAAATAATTTAATCTTGAATTAAAAGATAAATCTGAAGGTTGAACAATATTTTTGATTATTAAAAATGTTCAAAACACAAATTAAACACTAAATATTGACAACAGAATAACTTACCCAAATTAATTTCTTTTTTTTAATTTTTTTAAAGATTTTATTTATTTATTTGAGAGGTAGAGTTATGGACAGTGAGAGGGAGAGACAGAGAGAAAGGTCTTCCTTCCGTTGGTTCAATCCCCAAGTGGCTGCAACGGCCAGAGCTGTGCTGATCCAAAGCCAGGAGCCAGGAGCTTCTTTCCAGTCTCTCATGTGGGTGCAGGGGCCCAAGGACTTGGGCCATCTCCCACTGTTTTCCTAGGCCATAGCCGAGAGCTGAACTGGAAGAGGAGCAGCCAGCGTCCGCATGGGATGCCGCTGCTGCAGCCCGAGAATTAACCTACTGCACCATGGCGCTGGCCCCCTAAATTAATTTCTTACCTTGAATTCTGCTGTTAGCTATCTTAAAATGAGGTTTTATAGTCCTAAGGTTGATCTAGTGTTAGGAAGGGGCTCTTTATATTTTTCATTTTTATTTATTTATTTTCATTGTATTAGAAAGGCAGAGACATGCACAAAAGACAAATAGAGAGAGAGAGGGAGAGAAAAGAAACAAAGATCTTCCTTTTACTGGTCACTCCCCAAATGCCTGTAATAACCAGGGTTGGGCCACGCTGAAGCCAGGGTTCCAAAACTCCATTCAGTTCTCTAAGATAGGTGACAGAGACCCAAACACTCAGACATCACCTGCTGCTTCCCAGATGCGCATTAACAGGAAGCTGGATTGGAAGCTGAGGAGGCGACTCAAACCAAGATATGAGGTGCAAACATCTCAAGCTGTGACAGCTGTGGCCAAATGCCTCAGACTGAGGGCTGCTGTGGCCCAATGCCAGTTCTGGAAGCAGAAGGAAGACTGTCTGATAGTGAATTTTCCACTGGCCTTTTCAGGACAATGAGCAGACTCATCACTCAATGATGATGCTAACCAAGGCAGCTTGTCAAGCTTTCAATAAGCTTCTTCCTTGGATCAAAATAGTGGGATGATCATGCAAGTCAACCTTTCTTCTCCCACCCTGCAAAGCTGTTAGTTTACATCTATGATAATAAAAAAAAATAGGGCTGACAGATTTAGCAACAATAAAAAAATACAAATACAGGACACAGTTAAATTTGGACTTCAGATAAACAATGAAAGATGTTTAGGGTGACTCAAATGCAATATTTTAGAAAATGCATTGTATCTGGTAAACCCATAAAAATGAATATAACCATAACACTGTAGTATCAGTGGATCGCTATCATTAAGAATTGGGGGGATTGGATTAGATTGAATTTGTCCTGTAATTCTACTTCTAGGTTTATCCAACAGAATTGAAAAGATATATCCATAGAAACACCTAAACAAGAATGCTCCATCAGCTTTACTTATAACCGCCAAAAATCCTGACACAACAAAATGGTCATCAGTATTCTGATTGAACAATCTGCACTTCATATAACTTCAGAGGGGTCCCTAATTCTGCTTGTTTGAGCACTACACCTGAAGAACTACTATTTTAGAGAATCTGACAGACAATAGATTAGGTCAAAAGGAACAACAGAAGGAGATTCAAAGAAAACTCCCAAATCAGAGTCAAGATGACTGAAAGTCAGGAAGGGACTGGGAGAAAAGTGTCAGGATGATTAATTACAGACTTGCATCCAAAACACCAAAGCCAGTCACGTCCCTGACCCGCAGCCCCGCCACAGCTGCTGTAGACCCTGGCTTTAAATCCCAGAAGAATATCCTTTCAAGCAATATGCACTTGCTACTGGGGTGAGAGGGTGCTACAGGTGGAGGGCTGAGAGAGATTAATAGAAACTTCCAAAATGGACTCAGAAGAAGTAAAAATGTCTCTATATTATCTTTGCCAGGAGAAAGGCTCACATCAAGTAGACCCTTCCTTATTCTGGTGATGAATGGAGGAGGTGGGAGAGGGGAGGGCAGTCCACTCCATGCCAATGCTCCCTCCAGGTGCATCTCTAATTAAGGGCCCTTTCCACGTATGTGTGGACCACAGCCACCCTCTCCTTTAAGGGAGAGACCTGGTGGGAGAAATAACCCTATGAGGCTGCAGAGGGAGCTGTGCCAGATTCCTAAATCATAAAAATATGAACAGACAACCAGACATCAGAGGAGCATCAGACATCAGGACCAAGAAGGAGCAAGAACAAACTGACCAGAGAAAGCAGAGATAACTCAGGGAGAATTTGAAAGAGTTTACTAGGAGGTATTTGAGAGGCTGTCACATTCATAAAACAAAAATAGGAGCAATCATAGCCTAAGACTGCCAAAGAAATGTAATAGAAGCTAACCATGGCTGGGGACAGCTTTGCTCTTGTTTTCTTTGTAAATAATAACGGTAAGATGCAATAAAATATGCCCCAAACTGCAGAATAGAAAAAGATGTGACCCTGCCAGAGCAGAGCTGTGGGCTGGCAGGTGGTGCAGCCATGGGATACCTCAAATTGCTCATTAAATTGCAAGTGTATGAAATTCCAGATTTGGTGTGGGAAAGGCATTTTAGGGGTGGCATGTGTAATGTGTGAAAATCAAGTTGCGTAAAAGTTGACTATGGGAAAGTTAAGAACCATCTGTGTCCACATTCCACTTGGCTTTCCCCACAGCTTAGTAATAAAAACTTTTCAGCTTATACTCAGGGTCACCGTAAAAATAACTAAAGTGTATACACTCCCTCATCATTTAATAGTTTATAAAGCACTTTTACTAATTTATATATTGGAAGGTAGCTAATAACCTTACACTAACTTTGAAGGAACAGAAGCAGACAGTAATTTGTATCTAAGCTTCCAGGAAATGTAGAAACTGGCCGGAAACACAGCTTTGCAAATTATTTCCCAAAGGATGGCCTGCAGATTGTTGATCTCATAAGACATTTGTTCTCAATAGTGTGTGTCAGAATTGTCTGGGGGCTCATAAAAGGACATATACATACAACACACACAGACACTCACAAATTACTACTCCCCTCCCTCCCCAGAGTCTTTTTAAAAACTTACTTATTTTCATTTTTATGTAAAAGATGGAGAGAGAGAGAGGGAGAGAAAGGGAGGAGAGAGAGAGAGGGAGAGAGAGAGAGAAGGAGGGGATAGAGAGAGAGAAAGAAAGGGAGAGAGAGAATCTTACCACTGATTCACTCCCCAAATGCCTGCAGCAGCCAGGGATGACCAGGCCAAAGCCAGACCTCCCATATGGATGGCAGAGCCCCAATACTTGAGTCATCATCTGCTGGCCTCCCAGGGTGCACATCAGTAGGACGCTGGATCAGATGTGGAGTAACTGGGGATAGAATCAGCACACCAATATGGGATACGAACATTCTAAGCTGTAACGTGACCACTGTAATACACGCCTTTCCTTCTTTTTAAAATTTATTTACTTGAGAGACAGAGAAACAGAGAAACGCCCAGACAGAGAGATAGGCAGTCAAACAGAGAGTTCTCATCTGTTGGTTCACTCTCCAAACGACTGCAAAAGTTGGGAGCTTGGCCAGGCTGAAGCCAAGAGCCAGGAACTCAATCCAAATCACCCACATGGGTGACAGGGATGCATGTAGTTGAGCAATCACCTGCTGCCTCCAAGGACGTGCAGTAGCAGAAAGCTGGAATTGAGAATGGAGCTATGGGGGCCAGTGCCGTGGCTCACTTGGTTAATCCTCTGCCTGCAGCACTGGCGTCCCATGTGGGCGCCGGGTTCTAGTTCCGGTTGCTCCTCTTCCAGTCCAGCTCTCTGCTGTGGCCCGGGAAGGCAGTGGAGGGATGGCCCAGGTGCTTGGGCCCCTGCACCCGCATGGGAGACCAGGAGAAGCACCTGGCTCCTGGCTTCAGATCGACGCAGCTCCGGCCATGGTGGTCATTTTGGGGGTGAACCAATGGAGGGAAGACCTTTCTCTCTCTCTCTCTCTCTCTCACTGAATATAACTCTACCTGCCAAAAAAAAAAAAAAAAAAAAGAGAGAGAGAGAGAGAGAGAGAGAGAGAGAATGGAGCTAGGATTCAAACCCAGGCACTCTGATATGGCACACAGCTGTCCCAACTGGTGTCTTAACCACTACACCAAGTGCCCATGCCCCTCCCCAGTTTCTGATTCATAAGGTACCTATGAATTTACATTTCTTTCTTTCTTTCTTTCTTTCTTTCTTTCTTTCTTTCTTTCTTTCTTTCTTTCTTTCTTTCTTTTTGAAGATTTGTTTATTTGAAAGGTGGAGTTACAGAGAGAGAGAGAAGGGAAGATATATTTACATATATATGGCGGGGGAGATAAAGAGAGAGATCTTCTATCTGCTGGTTCATGCTCCAAATGGCCAATGCTGGGCTAAGCTGAAGCCAGGAGCCAGGAGCCAGGAGCCAGGAGCTTCATCTGGGTTTGCCACATGGGTGCAGAGATCCAAGGATTTGGGCCATCTTCACTGCTTCCCCACCCACATTAGCAAGGAGCTGGATCAGAAGTAAGGCAGGGGCCGTGGCTGTGGTGCAGCGGGCAAAAACCTCCGCCTGCAGTGCCGGCATCCTATGTGGGTGCCAGTTCGAGTCCCAGCTGCTCCACTTCCGATCAAGCTCTCTTATATGGCCTGGGAAAGCAGTAGAAGATGGCCTAACTCCTTGGGCCCTTGCACTCGTGTGGGAGACCTGGAGGAAGCTCCTGGCTCCTGGCTTTGGATTGGTGCTACTCTGGCAGTTGTGGCCAACTGGGGAGTGAATCAGTGGATGGAAGAACTCTCTCTCTCTGCAACTCTGGCTTTCAAATAAATAAATAAATCTTAAAAAAAAAAAAAAAAAGAAGTTAGGCAGCCAGGACTAGAACCGGTGCCCATATGGGATGCTGGTATTGTAGGAGGCAGCTCAACACATTATGCCACAATACCAGCCCCTCAAATTTACATTTCTTTCTTTCTTTTTTTTTTTTTTGAAAAGGCTAATAGCATTTTTTAAAAATTTATTTGACAGGTAGAGTTATAGATAGTGAGAGAGACAGAGAGAAAGGTCTTCTTTCCATTGGTTCACTCCCCAAATGGCCGCTACGGCTGGCGCTGTGCCGATCTGAGGCCAGGAGCCAGGAGCTTCCTCTAGATCTCCCATGCGGGTGCAGGGGCCCAAGCACTGGGGTCATTCTCCACTGTCCTCCCAGGCCACAGCAGAGAGCTGGACTGGAAGAGGAGCAACAGGGACTAGAACCCGGCACCCATATGGGACGCCAGCACCGCAGGTGGAGGATTAACCAAGTGAGCCATGACACCGGCCCCAGGATTTTTTTTTTTTTTAAGATTTATTTATTTTATTTGAAAGTCAGAGTTACACACAGAGAGAAAGAGAGGGAGAGAGGGAGAGAGGGAGAGAGGGAGAGGGAGAGAGAGAGAGAGAGAGAGAGAGAGGTCTTCCATCCACTGGTTCATTCCTCAATTGGCTGCAAAGGCTGATTCGAAGCCAGGAGCCAGGAGTTTCTTCCAGATCTCCCACATGGGTACAGCGGCTCAAGCACTTGGACCATCTTCTACTGATTTCCCAGGCCATAGCAGAGAGCTGAACAGAAAGTGGAGCAGCTGGGTCTTGAACAGATGCCCATATGGGATGCTGGCACTGCAGGAGGTAGCTTAACCCACCAGGACACAGTGTTGGCCCTGCAAATTTACATTTCTAACAATTTCCTAGGTGCTGCTGCTGCTGGCAGCACCACTAGATGTAGGTCAGGAGGTAGCGAGCAAGAAGGAGCTGAGGTCGCCAGCCCATTGCAGCAGCCCACTTGTTCTGCAGCCCTGCCTGCACTACTCAGACCCACTACCCCTTTCCAGTTAATGGAAAAGTGCAGTTTGTACAAAACCACTGCTCAGAACCAGCACTGACTGAAAATAACTGACATGGATGCTGGCTGCATTCCTGCAATGAATTTAATGAGGTTTAGCTCATTATAATGTCATTACAGTAACATTACCATAGTAGACACCTCTACTCCTATTACATATTTGAGGCTATGACATCTATGAGATTTCCAAAATTAGGCAGTACTTAAGCCCCTCTTCAAACTCTGCCCCTTGTGAATATTGGATTAATCCCTACCCCAGACACCATTCTCTATGCTTCAGATCATATAAAGGGGAAGTCTCGAAACTTGCTGAGTGCTGCTCTCTTTTGAGTAAGTCCATACTACCTCTGGAGTGCACAGTTTTGCTTTGCATATAAATAACCCTTGCTTTTCTGCTTACCTTTACCAATTCTCATCCTTGAATTCTTTCTTGTATTGGGTATAAGAACCTGGATCCATCCATCCTACAATTGTCCCATTAGATGCTCTCTGAAAAAAAGGATTCCATGGTCAAATTGAGATGTATTTGTTGTGTAATAGAGTTCCAATGGCCTTTAGCTCTGTGAGGGAAAGTACAGGGAAAAATCAAAATAGTTACATTATAGCAAAAGAATTATGAATAATTTTTACTGAAAAATTTGTTTAAATGCCATGGGCATATATTTTAAACAAACATGGAGAGGGAATATATGAAGGAAGATATTTCACAAATGCATGGGAAATGGAATTAAGAGATCAGTTTAGGAGGCAAGCATTTGGCACAGTGGTTAAGATGCCACGTGGGCTGTCTGCATCCCATATTGGTGTGCCTGAGCTTGGGTCCAGCTCTGTTTCTGATTCCAGCTTTCTGCTTATGCATTCTCAGGTGATGGCTCAAGCGGTCTGGTTCCTGCCACCCACACTGGAGACCTGGACTGAGTTTACAGCTCCTGGCTTCAGCCTGGTCCAACCCTGGCTGTTGCCTGCATCTGGGGACTAAATAAGCAGATGAGGTCTCTCTCTTTCTCTCTCTCTCTTTTTCAAATAAATAAAAATAAAAATGTGGTGGTTGGCATTATTGTGCAGTGGGTTAAGCTGCTGACTGTGACACTAGAACCACATGTCAGAGCAGTGACTCAAGTTCAGGCTGTTCCATATCCAATACAGCTTCCTGCTAAGGAGCTTGGGGAAGCAGAAGTATTTGGGCCCCTGCCACCCACATGGCAGATAAAGATGGTATTCTGGGCACTGGCCTTGGCCTGGCCTATCCCCCATTGTTGAGGTAATTTGGGGAATGAACTAGTGAATGATCTCTCTCTTGTGTGTCCCTCCACCCTGACCTGTCACTTTGCCTTTCAAATACTTTCTTTAAGTAAAGTAAAAAAAAAAAAAAAAGAAAGGTAAGTTTATTTTGGTGCAAAAAATTTTTTGAAATTCACACATAGTTTTTTCACAGTATGAACTTCCACAAACTTTTTGAAGACCTCTCTTATTGTATACAGAAAAAAAAAAAACTAAAATAAAAGATAATGGGGGAAGCTTTTTAGTGATCTGGGAAAATGTTTATAATGGGCAATATAATCTTAATCATAGGTATTGAAATATATCTTTTTCTGAGAAACTATCCCAGATTTTTTTTTATTACTGTTGGATTTTGAACGTATGCACAATTTTCATTTTCTTCCTTGTACTTTATATAGTTAGTATATATTATTTACATAGTCAAGAAAATAAATCTGCTACTTCTTTAAAAAACTAGGCATCTGCAGGGGTTCCAATCTTAAAAAGGAAAAAAAAATTCTATTTTTCAGCCCACGTTTAAAATTCCATCCCTTTTGTTTAAGCAAGCTCTTTGATAGAATTACACATTTTTTGTAACGTAATTTGTATAAAAGGTAATTTGGGGCTATTTACTAGTGCAAAAAGGGGATTATACCATTAAATCAACTAGTATCAAATTGCCACATTTCACTGCATATAGGGTATAATTAAGGCAAGTCTCAACTAGACTAATCTTTTCTTTTTTTTCCTGCTTCTTATAATCATCTAGTTTCATTTACTTCTCTACTGCTCTTAAGTATTTTGCCCAACTATATTTGAAAACTGCCCCAAAGTTACAGGTCAGCCTCTGATATTCATGTCTAATAAATGTTTTGCTTATTTTAGAAAAAGAATGGTAAACTTATGCATATTGTCGTATGTTGACTACAACTTGGGCTCATGACACAAGTTCACACTGTACAGGTTTGGGTATAGGGAAATTATCTCCCTTAGAGAAAGAACAAATCATAGTTCAAACATAAACTAAATTTAAAAAACCTTTCCCAGACAGAATTAATATAATTTATATTGTAATAGGTAGCTTAAATCAGACTTAGACTATTTGATCTCAAATGTTTCTTTCTTTCTTTTTTTTTTTTTTATTCTTTCTCTGACAGGCAGAGTGGACAGTGAGAGAGAGAGAGACAGAGAGAAAGGTCTTCCTTTGCCGTTGGTTCACCCTCCAATGGCCACCGCGGCCGGTGTGCTGCGGCCTGCGCACCACGCTGATCAGAAGCCAGGAGCCAGGTACTTATCCTGGTCTCCCATGGGGTGCAGGGCCCAAGCACTTGGGCCATCCTCCACTGCACTCCTGGGCCACAGCAGAGAGCTGGCCTGGAAGAGGGGCAACCGGGACAGAATCCGGCGCTCCGACCGGACTAGAACCCGGTGTGCCGGTGCCGCTAGGCGGAGGATTAGCCTAGTGAGCTGCGGCGCCAGCCTCAAATGTTTCTTGTATCTGTAATATGTTCATGAAAATACCCCTTGAAATTTTCAGTTAATTATATATATATAATATTTTATATATATATATATAAATATGCTTTATACATGTTAAGTGCCTGATTTGGTTAGATCTACCAAAAGCTTTCTGCCATAAGTTTGCTATCTAAATTGGAAGAGCCAAAATTTGCACACATAAAACAAAGAGACAAATGAGAGAGTATAGGTGAGTGGTTCATGAAAATGAATTCCAGCAGAGGGTTCACTTCACAAATGGCCGCAATAGCCACTCTGGGCCATGCTGAAGCCAAGGAACCAGTAATTCCATCCTGGCCTCCCACATGGGTAGCAGGGGCTCAATTACGTGGCCATTACCCACTGCCTTCCCAGGCACATCAGTAGGAAGCTGGATCAAAAGCCAATCAGTGGGGCCAGTGCTGTGGCGCAGTGGGTTAAAGCCCTGACCTGAAGCGTTGGCATGCCATATGTGGGCACCGGTTCTAGTCCCAGCTGCTCCTCTTCTGATCCAGCTCTCTGCTGTGGCCTGGGAAAGCAGAAGATGGCCCAAGTCCTTGGGCCCCTGCACCCATGTGAGAGACCTGGAAGAAGCTCCTGGCTCCTGGCTCCTGGCTCCTGATGGGTGCAGGTCTGGCCATTGCGGCCATCTGGAGAGATGGAAGCAGATGGAAGACCTCTCTCTCTGTTTCTACCTCTCTCTGTAACTCTGTCTTTCAAATAAATAAAATAAATCTTAAAAAAAAAAGAATGCCAAGCAGCTCAGATTTGAACTGGCACTCTGATATAGGATGCCAGTGCCAAAGGCAGTGGCCTAACATGCTGTGCAACAATGCTGGGATCACCCACGCAATCATTTTTCTTTTAAAAGTCAGAAAAGAGAGAGAATAAGCGAGAGAGAGATAGGGAGCTTCTGTGCATTGGTTCACTCCACAAATGCCTGAAATGGCTGGGACTGGGCTGTACTGAAGCTGGGAGCCAGGAACTCTTAATGTAGGTCTCCCACATGGGTGGTAGAAACTCCAGTCACTTGCACCATCATTTGCTACCTCCCAAGGTCCACATTAGCAGAAAACTGGTGTCAAGAGCCGAAGCTGGGAATTGAACCCACGTATCCTGATGGCGGGACATAAGTTGTCTTAACTGTCAGGTGAAGCACCCATTCCTATTTCCCCATATTTTGAGACACAGGGGGAGAGAAAGAGCGAGAGAGCGAGCAATAGACACCTGCTTCTCAGAAACTCAGTGAATTGCTAGACTCTGAACTTTCTTAAACCTTTGTTCCTTGTTGCTTCCAATCCTTGTGCTTACTATTCTCTGGTCTCTCTTCCTTCTTCAGGGTTCTAGTGTCTTCTTTAGGGGGCTCCCACCCACAATCAGTCTGATTCTTTAATAGAGTGAGAGTGTGAGAGTACTAGGCAGGGAGAAGAGAAGCAAGGGAAATAGAATACCACCTACTGAGTGTCTTCTTTGAGCCATGGGTTGTGCCAGCCACCCTCCATGCTTCCCACCTTCATATTTGAAGTCTCTTGCAAGCAGCCATGAGGAGTCTTAGGAAACAGCTCAGGAAGGGAATGGAGAAGGCAAGCTTCTTTAATAGCTACGAGGGGAGGAGCCTGTGTCCAATTTGCTTGACTATCACCTGAAAGCTTTTCATTTTAGGCTTCTGCTAAACTAGGTCTTCTTTCAAGTTTTTCCATTTCCTGATCTTTCTGAAACATTGGGGATTTAATAGCGAAACTAGAGATGACTCTGAGAATACCAGAGGACATCTCTTTCTCTTTCTTCAAAGTTTATTATTATTATTATTTGAAAGGCAGTTACAGAGAGCAAGGGAGATACACACACACACACACACACACACACAGATCTCCCATCTACTGGTTCACTCCCCCAAATAACTGGAACAACTGGGTCTGGGCTAGGTGGAATCTAGGAGCCAGGAACTCCATTGGGTCTCTCAAGGACCTAGGACATCCACCCTGCTTTCCCAGGTACATTAGCAGACAGCAAAGCATCTGGGACTTGAACCAACACTCTGATATGGCACACCTGAGTTGCAAGTGGCACCTTAATCCACTGTGTTTTGATGATGGTCCCAGTGGACTTATTCTTAAAAGGAGTTTATGTGGGCCTGGCACTGTGGCATAGTGGGCTAAGCCTCTGCCTGCGGTGCCAGCACCCCATATGGGCTCTGGTTTGAGTCCTGGCTGCTCCTCTTCCAATGCAGCTCCCTGCTATGGCCTGGGAAAGCAGTGGAAAATGGGCCAAATCCTTGGGCACCTGCACCTGCGTGGTAGACCAGGAAGAAGCTCCTGGCTCCTGGTTTTGGATCAGCGCAACTCCAGCCATTGTGACCATTTGTGGGGGGGGGGGGTGAACCAGCAGATGGAAGACCTTTCTCTCTGTCTCTCCCTCTCTCTGTCTGTAACTCTACCTCTCAAATAAATAAAATCTTTAAAAAAGCAGCTTATGGGGCCAGCACTGTGGTGTAGTGGGTTAAGCTGCCACCTTAGTACTGGTATCCCATATGGGCACTAGTTCACTTCCTGGCTGCTCTACTTCTGATCCAGCTCCCTGCTTAATGTGCCTGGGAAAGCAGTGGAGGATGGCCCAAGTGCTTGGGTCCCTGCACCCATGTGGGAGACAGGAAGAAGCTCCTGACTTTGGCCTGGCCCAGTCTTGGTCATTGTGGCCATGTGGGGAGTGAATCAGCAGGTGGAAGATCTCTG